TTTTATATTTAGAGAAAATGACTAATGTTCAAGTATGTTGGCATAAAATAATAACAAGTACTAATTGTATTTGTTAATTTTCTTATGGCTGTAACCAAATGGCTGATTTGAAACAACTTAAGTTTGGAAGGATTTGTTTAACTCACAGTTTAGGGCTATAAATAACTATGCCAGGGAAAGAAGGAAGTATAGTTGTAACAATGAATCCTGTTTACACTGGGCAGATTGGGAGACAAAGCAAATGGAAAGTTGGCATTCATCTGTTCTCTATCTTTCTGTCTCTCTATCTCATTATCTCTGTCTCTCTCCCTCTTTCTCCTCTCCTTTTCCTTCCACCCTGCATCCCCTCTTCTACTCTCCCTCCCCTTTTTCTCTTTCTCTGTCAAAACTCAGTCCAGGACTGAAACCTTTACACCTGTATAGAAATACCCTTAGAGACATATGCAGAAGTATGTCTCCTAGGTAATTCTAAATCTAGCCAACTTGACAATGTGGATCAACTCTCATATTGATGGTTATTATTTGTATGTCATTTTAAGCAATATATATATATATATATGTACTGTAGACCCACAGTAGCTTTTATTACTACCATGGTTTCATCAGGAGGAACCAAAATATGCAATACTTACCTCTTCAGAGTTGACGTGGCTCATGGATTGAAGATTTGACCTCATTCTGCCTGATACCCAACTTACAACCCACTGTGCTATAATCCTTTTCAATACATTTAATTAAAATATTGGCATTGCCTACCTAAGTGATACACTCCTGTCATCCCACCACTCAAAAAAAGGTGAGGAGGATCTTGACTTCATGGCTAGTCTGGGTTGCTACATAATGAGTTCCAGGTTAAGCTAGAATACAATGATCAGATCCTATCCCAAATAAAACTGAAATCAAGAATATTGTTTTCAATAGACTTTATTTTAATAGAGAAGTATTAGGTTGAAAAAATGGGAATGAAATGCAAAGAATGTCCATACATCTCTGCCATGACTTAATAACAGCCTCCTTCAATATCAGCACCCTTTCTACAGTGATACATACGTTGCTATAGATAAATATACCATGACACATTTTTTACAGTACATAACTTACATTAGGATTCATTATCCTACAACCACCACCAGCACCACCACCACAACCACCACAGGAACACATATTTGAATAAATTAAAAGATCTTCAAAATGGATAAGAAATATAGTCTTTATTTTCATCAAGCTTAACTGAAATTTAGCATTCCCTTGATCATGAATGTAGACATGGTATTGTAACTTCTTCTTGAGGTTAATTTGGTGTAGAATTGAACAGATAACACTGACTCATACTGGCTATTCCCATTTTGTATATACTGCATTCACTGCTCTACCCATTCATCCTTCCCCTATCCAGCCCTGGCAAGCATAGACCTGTTTCTTGTCTCCATAACTTTGCCCTTTTTTAGGAAGTCATAGCTTGAATAATACTGTATGTCATTTTTGCAGTTCAGCTTTGTTTCTTCATAATAAACAGTTTAGTTTCTGCCTCAACTGTTCACAGCTTGATTTCTCATTTATTTTTAGTGCTGAGTATAGTCTCCCATGCTTCATGCATTCATTTACTCATAGGATGATATCTCACTTGACTCCAACTTTGTGCAATTACAAATAAGACCACTGGAAGCATCCATACAGGTTTTGTGAGGACATATGTATTCAATTACTTTAGGTCAGTGCCAAGGAGCACAATTGTGTTTTAAAAACACATTTTTGTCAAAAACTGCCAGGCAGACTCCATTGTGCCTGTACCGTTTTGCATTCCTACCAGCAATGAATAGAAATTCCTATTGTTCTATTTTGCCAGCATTTGTGACTGTCAGCGTCTGAATTTGGGCTATTCTAATTAGTTCTGGCTAGAGAACAAGACTTTACGTATGGAAATAGTTTGTGACTGCCTGTGTGCATGTGACAAGGAGTGATCAGTTGAGAGCATGTTATCCAAGGTGGAAAGAGGACCAGATTCAGCACTAAAAAGTGAAGAGGACCCTCATTTTAGTTTTCAATTTCATGACACATACATTAAGCATATTTTCATATACCACTTTGCCATATATATATATTATCTTCTACAGAGAGGTAGTTTTTGTCTGTATTAAAAAGTTTTTCATCTCTTTTCTGTTAAGTTTTAAAAATGTATAGGTATATTTAGTTAACAGTGGTTTATTCATATATGTTTTAGAAGTGTTTTCTCCCAGTCTGTCTGAAAGTTGTTAGTTTCTTGGCAAGGAGGGGGGTGGGAGTCATATTTAAATAATAAAAGTGTTTAGAAATTACATTTTTATATAGTACTAGTCCACCCATTTGTTACATACATTTTAATTTACATATGTTTGCTTTGTGCTTAATTTTACTTATGTATGTATTGGAATTCAGTGCAAAACAAATGTTGAAATTAGTATACACATAATTTACGTAAAGAAAACTGGCAGGAGAGATGAGGGTGACTAAAACAAAGCTCTGTGTCAGGCATGCCTAGCAGATGAGGGGTTTTTGTTAGAAGGTCAGAATATAAACTTGAGGATAATTGGCCCCATCTGTGGGCACGCACACGATACAAAAAGAAACTGGGAGGCTGTGTTTTCGCTAAGAGTAGATAAAGTCAGGCAGAGCAGGAACACACATAAAACAGAGGGTCAGGGACAAGTCTGTAGTTGTTTGGCATGCTTGCAGATCTAGCCAAGCAGAGAAGTCAATTCTTCCAAAGCATAACTGTATTTGCTGCTACAGAGGAAGAGATCTAGCCAAATGAAGGCAGAGCTTAAACTACCTTCGAATGGAGTCCCACTATACCCACCCTGAGAAGCACTTCAGATCAATAATCTCCCCACCCATTCAAAGTGTGGAAGGCAATAACTGCAATCAACTCCCTCTGTGTGATGGGAAAAAAACTCCCTTTAACCAAATCATCTACATTTTGACCAAATGTGTAAATGGAGGGTAGAATCCTCTTTATTTTTAATTTTAACAACACAAAACTGGGAACAGCCCAAATATCCACTGCCAAGTGAATGCTTAGCTTAGATAAATGTTACATCATTCAGTGAATTGCTGTTTAGCAGAATAATAATAGTAATAATGATAATAGTAAGATACTGATGAATGAATCCAACATAGTTATCACAAATGAAAGAACCAGACCAAAAAGAAAAACCAAAACAAAACCACTTCAATGATTACATGTGCATAAAATTCTAGAAAATATAAAGACTAACAAAAAGCATATCAGTAGTTTCTTAGGTGGAAAAAGAAGGGCAGGAGGAGAGAATTAGGAAGAATCATAAGTCGATGGACTTGTTCATTGTCTTAATTATGCTCACAGCTTCATTTGTTTGTACATGTATCAAAACTTATCAAATTGTGCCCCTTAATAATGTGCTGTTTAATTTATGTCAATTATAACTCAGTAAAGCTGTAAAAATTTAAATACACATAAACTTAACTAGAACGTTAAAATAAAATTCATAAAACCCAATTCTATTTTTCCAAGGGGAACAAATTCACTTGGGTGTGGTAACTCTTGCTTTTAATTCAAGTACTTGCAAGGATGAAGCAAAAGTATTGAACATTCAAGGCCAGTTTATGCTACACAAAAAAATTTGAGGCCAGTCTGGAGTACATCCTAGAACCTTGGTTTTTTATTTGTTTATTTGGTTAGTTTGTTGATTAGTTGTTTTTTTAATAGTTACACATAAAAGCAAACAAGCTCATTGGCATTCCAATTTCATTTATAATTCTACTTCTAAAGAAATGACATGTGTATTTTGTGCTTGCTCATGACCACAGTCAACAAAACACTAGTTGACATATTTCTCCTATGTGATACCTTGAAATAGCTTGAGATCATAAGTTTGTCAACTCTACATATGTAACAAAAATTCATTCATTCATCATCTTTGATAACATTCATGAACTATATCCTTGTTGTTCTCATGGCTCTGTCAACTAACCTATCTGTGCCTAAGAGTCACCTTTTGTTTCCTGCACAGGATGTGAGCACTGTCACCCAAACACTACCTGTGTCCTATATACCTGTAACAAATAGGTGATGCAGGGAACATAAACAGAACCATTTGACTACGCCCTCTTGTTCTCTTTATCTTACACTTCTAACATCCTTGTGTACCCAGTGCAGACACTGTAAATTCTTGCTGACTGCCACTGATATATATCATTAACTTGCACATTTCACTGACCCAAAACAAGAAGAGCAGCATGTTCTAGTATCTTGAGATCACTGGGTACTAGGTGTGATCTGCCATCTTCAGGGATTTAAACTGCTCTAGAGCAAACATGCTTCATAAATGGGAGCCTGGAAGGCACCCAGGGAGTGGTTAAGGTCCACATTTATTGCTGAACTTCAGCATGACACTCTCAACTGTGTGGTGGTATTATGCGACTAGTTAGCTGGGTGGAGACTGGCATATCTCAGCAGAATAGTTTAACACTCATTTGACTTCTGATATGAATCTCACAATAACCAGGGGCCAGTTTCTTCACTGAGAGGAATTACATATTTAAAAAGAATTGTTAAAAATGCATCACTTGATCCAGGCAAGGTAGTGCACACCCATAATCCTGGTACTTGGAAGGCTAAGCCAGGAGGATTACAAGTTCAAAGACAGCCTGGAATACATAGTGAGACTGTCTCCAAGGGAAAATGAAGCTAATGAAAAAAAAAACTCATTAGACATGAAAGTAAACAAATGAGTGTTTAGTTTTAACAGATTCGAGAAATAAGCTTGGCAGTAACAGTCACTCAATTAAAATAGGTTCTGTGGGATGGTTGTTTGTTTGGGATTGTTTTAGGTTTTGCAGTTGCACAAGGATATCTGGTTTCATTTGAATGTATTTTCCATATTAATCTTAAATTGATGCGACTAAAAACCATCATGTATGTAGTCTTTAGCATATAGTTCACTTTTTAAAACATCAATTTAGACATATTCTTTCTTTTTCAGGACTTATGCCTATTGCACAACAACCTGTTTATTGTGCCTCAAAGCACGGCATAATTGGATTCACACGCTCAGCAGCGGTGAGGAAGTCATAACCGCAGACTCTCTTCCTCCTTGCCCTACTAAATGAAACCCAAATTTTATAGACTATAAGAAAAGAAGTTAATTCAAAAACAAAATCTAGCCAAAAGATGGAGGAGACATGTTCTTAAATTTTGATAGTAAAAACGTTTTTGGTCATTTAAAAGATTAAATAAAGAATATATCACTGTAAAATAGGGAGTGGTGGGTGAAGCAAACGAATATTTAAAGGTTAAATAATGGGGGATGCTCTTTGTTTTTGCAATTGTGTAATGATGATGTCAGGAGTCCTTAAATAGCACACTTAAATAGAATTCTGCATGCTGTTTGGGAAATGCATTACAAAGCACAAACAACAGAAAAGGATCATTGCAAAATCTCTGATGGTGCTGGATAGGATGGAAGGACTGGAGAGATAAAGTGTTTTTGCATCAACAAAGAGAAAGCAGAAGCAGAAGCATCAGTATTAATCATCCCCAAGAAGGAAGGCAGTCTTTACTATTAATTTGGGTTGATTAGGCCTCAGAACTTGATTTGAAAATACTTCAATTTTCTAGAAGAAAATAAACCATTACAAAGCAGAAATTTCACATTTAAATTTATGACTATTTCTCCAGTCAGCGTTCATTGTTCACAGCAGTTACGAAGCTACTTGCAAATGGTGAATTAGTAAATACTGAGCCATCATTTCTGAAAGAAACAAAAGGTGAAGTTACTAAAAGCCTGAGTTCACAACATCTTTGTCAGCCACTCAGTATTCAACCTTGTTTCATGTGTGTTTCTGTTCAATGAGAAGTAACCTTTATATGCTGTAGAAATTCTCACAAGTAGTAGAACTTCTATTATAATGTTTGGCTCAAGAGAAATGTCAGTTGCTTAGCTTCAGGTCCCCAAAGAGTTCAGTAAAGAGAGCAGCTTAGATAATTTTCTAATCTTAAGGGTTTTCTTTTAAAACCAGTAATGCAGTGGAGCTTTCATGAATGAATTCTGCATGTTTATACATTATGTGCAATTGTTCCTCATTTCAGAGCGTATCTGTTTAGTGTGCTTTGTATCAGCCTTTAGAGAACTTCTTTCAGCCTGTCCTGGACTACACTTCTGCAAAGCTCCTGAAGCCTGTAACTATGTTCTGATTGGCAGATGGCTGCTAACCTTATGAAGAGTGGGGTAAGACTGAATGCCATTTGTCCAGGCTTTGTCAACACACCAATCCTCAAGTCCATTGAAAAAGAAGAAAATATGGGTCAATACATAGAATATATGGATCAGATCAAGGCTATGATGAAAGTCTATGGCATCTTGGAGTAAGTAGAACTTTCCACAATGGACAAAAGCATTATCTTTATAAGCAATCAATCTTTCTAAAGTGTTAAGTCTTAGAAAATGATTCAAAGCTCAAAGTTTGGGATGACAGATATTTTGAAAGGAGAAATAGGCTCGAGGAATAGAATTGTGTTTAAATGTTATGAATTTTGCTTTGAAAACAGACTGTACCTTCAGAGTTAATCAGATTTCTTTTCTAAATGATACTTGCTCACCTAAACTTCAAGCAAAAATCAAGCAAAACCTGTGTGTAATATTGTAAGGCCCCCAAACTTTCATAAAAGCAATCAATTGGTCACCATACACACACAGAGAGAGAGAGAGAGAGAGAGAGAGAGAGAGACAGAGAGAGAGAGAGAGAGAGAGAGAACATGAGAGACAGACAGAAACATGGACACACAATCAAAGAACTGTGTCTAAGTTAGAATAGATGGAGTGACACAAATATGAACTCACAGAGATGGTGGCATCATGCACAGGCCCCAAACGGATCTGAGCCCGGTAGAGTCCCAGCACTGAGAGGGAAAGTGAACACAAGCCCTCATCCCTAAACCCAGAAGGTATCTCCAATTGACAACCACTTGAAAACGAAAATTAGTTTTCTCCAGTGAAGTCTCAGAAGGACATACAAATGAGTCTTAAGGCCAGAACTTATGCCCCCACAGTAGATAGACAACACAAAACAAACTCAATGGCGTTTTCAGAGGGTGTCTCATAATGCTCTGTCAGGGCATTTCTTGAAACCTTATTTTGTATTTTTATGGGGTTTCCATGTATGTCTCTGTGTCTGTGTGTGTTCCTTGAGCTTTTCCTTTGCCTCTTTTTCTTTTGTTGGCTTGTTTGTTTTGTCCTATTCTAGTTTGTTTTTATTTTGTTTATTTTTATTTTATTATCATTATTTTATATGCCTGTTTTATTTGTATTCTAGTGTGATAGAGAAAGAAAGAATGTGAATTTGAGGGGTAGGGAATTGGAGGTGATCTTGGAGGAGTTAGGGGAGGGGAAACCATAATCAGAATATAATGTATGAAAAAGAACATTTTTAATAAAATCTTTCATGAAAAATAAATAATAAAATCCAAATACACTACCCTGGCATAAGGGTATCTTTCATTAAAAAAATGAGTTGTTTTGCAAGATGAGTTAGATGAGTTTTACTCAGCACAGAATTATAACTATTATGTTGGAGTAATCAGAAATAAGATCAAATCTCAGTTTTGACTCCTCTACTGAACTAACTCACCAAATTTCAGAAAATACAGTTTTCTAACATAGAAAAGGGATACCATAACAAATGTAGGGATCTTTGGCAGATCAATAAGATGATACATGGAATGCACTTATAATGGTACTTGAAAAATGATCTTCAATAAATGCTGTTAATTGATTCAATTTCTCCTCCAATAAAGTTTCTGTCTAGTAAGTCTGATACCTATTGGATCTGATACAGATGAGAAAATGATCATTTTCAGCAAAATAATTAATGACCTCAAATGCATTGCACAATGACCACTAAATATGTTACATAATTTACTTAACATCTCAATGAATAAAAACTAAAGGTAACAATAGCTTAATGAAATAAGTCTCCTTATGACAAGTAGTTGGCTGCTGAAGAAAGTATTGTGAAGTTACTGAGTTTCATTCTTTAGTTTCAAAATACAAATGTTTCTTTCCTTTTCAGCCCATCCACCATTGCCAATGGATTAATAACACTCATTGAAGATGATACTTTCAACGGCGCCATTATGAAGATCACAGTTTCTAAAGGAATTCATTTTCAAGATTATGACATCATGCCATCTTGTGTAAAAGATCCATGAACATCTTAAGCATCAACCATCACTGAAAAAAAGCACAAGTGCCTCACTCAGACTGCATCTTTACTAAAGCTTTTAACGAAATGATGTAGTATGAAACCTACCTTTATGTATCTGATGTTAATATTTTTCTAAATGATTAGTTAAACGTGTAGATAAAGATTACGATAAGCTAGGAAAAATACAGTGCAAGCCAAAACGGGGTTATAGTTCATAGTCTAAGGACAGAACAAAGGATATCCAAGACATATTCTGCCTTTCAGAAAATATATTTATCAGTGTAGCTCATAAATATTAATAGTTTTCAGAAATGGGATACTTGAATTGTTATTTAAGTCAAAACAGACCTTAAGTGATTCACTTTGAATGTTTGCACTTCAAAAGGAGGAAGCTACTTTGCAAAGGAAATGTTTAGTAATAAGAGTTTGTACATTATCTGCAAGCTAAACATGTCAACTCTTTGAAGATCTGGTGTGTGGAGGGAGGTCAGTAGTTAGGGAATGAATTCCAGTGTGACCATGTCCCAATAAAGCATCTGATGTATGGGAAAATGATACTGTTATTAACACTAAAGTTTTACAGCCTCAAACTAAGACACTTTTTTCCCTTCCTAAATTTAGAAATTCAATGGATTCCACAAGCCTCAGGAATGAAACTTTTAACAGTTATTGCAAAAAAGGAGAAAACTGTAAAATTTTATTTGTATTATATATGCTATTAAGAAATGAATCAGATGTATTTTTCCTGATTGTTTCTTTGTCGATTTGTACTAATTTCAAAGTGCCTGTCTTTCAATAAAAATCTTTTATTTGAATTAACATAAATTATTTAGTCTTTTATGTACACCCTAGTGGGATGATAAAACCAATTCTGCCGTATGCAAAACTAAAAATGTTTTGTAATATGCTCATATTCATAATAACACAAGGTGAGAATTTGTTCAGCTTTGCTTTCTGCATTGTCTGACATCTAAACATCTTTAAACACACCCCTTTTGAGTAATGTTATTTGTAAGCACTAAATGATATTAAAAAGGGTGAAAGTACACAATTTTCATATCAGTCAGTTCCTCAAAGAAATGCTGTGTAAGTGATTCACTGTGTTTGCAAAATCCAGGCTTCGAAGCTTGGAACAAAATCCACCTATTTGAAATTGATGAGTGCTTCTCAAATACTCTAGTATTAGCATACCTTACATAATTTTAATTCTTCCATGAAGAACTATTCAATAATTTTTTTTCATTTGGCTGCCTACAGTGTATTTTATTTTCATATACATCAACATTGTTACATATATATAATGAGTTTCTATATCATGAAAACCAAGTCTTTACCTAAAAGAAATTATAGCAATTTTTAAGTTAGACAAAGTTTGGAAAACACAATAATAACAATATAAAGATAAAGCATTTTATTCTGTATATGGATGTGTTTAGCTTACAAGTATTTTTTGGAATGTTATAATTGGGCAGGATTTATGTCTCAGGTCAAAGCTACAGAAGCAAGCAAATTCCAGAGATTTGTAAAATGCAAATTCAGTGGTAACACTATGTCCTACCTGGGAGCCTGGCATTATTTACAGAGTCAATTGGGCTCTATTAACTTAATTTTTAAGGTGTAATTTGAATATGAATGACAAGTCTGAATGAAGCAGCACCTAATATATTGGCATGCACCAGGAAACCAGTATCTGTGAACATCTTGTAGAAATGAATTAAAATTAGACACCAATGCCTTTGCACATGATAGTACTATATGTATGTGTAGTGTGACTTACCTTGTATCTTTTCTCCCTATAATGTGAAGTTACAACTTAAACTACTTATTTATGAATAATTATTTTGTATTCACAGATAGCAATGTAAGTTATCCTTTGAATTAATTTTTAAATTAACTATAAATATGCTTAAAATCAAATATTACATAAAAGTGAAATATTATTATGTTAAACATTTACTTAATTGAATGTGGAATAGTTTCTTTAATTGTATTTTTTCTTTGAAACTCCTTATATAAATAATATGTAGTTTTAAATATTTTAAATATTTTTCTTTATGAGTAGAATTAGAATTCTCACAACAGAAAACCTACAAATGTAACCTCATAAGAGAAACTTGAGACTTAATGAAGAGATATTGAAATGACCGGGCCAGATCATTTTTCTCAAATTAAAAACTTTAAATAAAATAAGTTACTTGAACACATGCGTTCAGATACCATGACTGTCAGTCTGGTAGCCAAGATAGTAATTAGTGGGTAGATATAAAATATGAATATGCTGGACAAAATTATTCATGTCCCAAGCAAGAAAAAATGAAAAGACACACTAACTTAGAACTTATGAATTGTTTATCCCTGGGGTTTTCCATTTAATATTTTCAAACTATGAGTACTGAAACCATGGATAACGTAGAACTACTCTATTGTAGGACATACACACCCATGTCTCAAGGTCTTGACAAAACAGAATCATAATCCTTTTAGACAAAAGTATTCAGTGTAGTTAACGATTCAAAGGTTCTTTTCACCTACTTTTCATAGCTCCACCATGGTTCAAAGTCTCATCTATTACTCAAATATAAACAAGGCACACCTATTTCATATCTGCTTCATTCTATTCTAGTGTGATTTGAAAAGCTACACAAACTGACCCACCTATGAGTAAAGGTAGTATGGTGTGATGTTTTGAAATGCGATCCCAGCTGGGAAGCCACTTTGGAGCAGCAAGTCTACATTTGAAGTAGAAGGATGAGTCATTGGGTCTCAGTGAAAAGCTAAAGTATCTAACAGTCCTCTCATGGTTTTAAGCTGAAACATAATACTAGTTTAAATCATTGTAATGTTTATGATTTGTGTTAGCATTTTCTTGATGATGTGACATTCAAAAAATAAAAACTACTTAAGAGGATTTATTTACAATGTTCACATCTATAACCCATTTTTTCTTGGGTTGTTTATTTTCTTTATTTTTAGTTCTTTTTTATTCCTGATATTAATCTTCTGTCATGTATACATCTGGCAAAGATTTCCTCCCTTTATGTAAGCTTCCTTGTCACTCAATAGACCATTTCATTTGCTATATAAATAATGCTTCCAGTCCCTTCCATAAGATTCTCATTGGAACAGCTTTGTAGATTTCTCAGAAGAGGTCTCATAGCCCAGTCCTCAGTCATCTGCTGGAATCCACTGAATTCTGCAACTGCGATGGCCACTGTCACAGTTACAACAAGTATGAGTAAAAATACAGAGGACATTTACTGGGATATTGCATTTATAACCTAGGGACTGAAGAAGCAGCTATTGGAATGATAGGATATTCCTGTTTCCTTTGTTTCTCCAACTATACTCAATCATTAGTTCCAGTGTGGCTCCTAAGCTGCCATCTTACCTGATCAAATTCAATTCTTAGTAACAACAGCAGGTGCACTAAAAACTTACGCCAAGGCTAGCAAGGCGTCTCAGTGGGAAGAATCACTAATTGACCTGAGGCTCTTGGGATCAAGTCGAGGACCCCACAGTGACAGGAGAGAATAGATTCTGAGAATTACCCCAGCTTCCACAGATACACTCACAAATACACACACACACACACACACACACACATGCATATGTACACAAATTAAAAAATAATAAAAGTTTCAAAACTTGTACCATATTGAGTATGATTTCTTAGTCTTATATAAGACACCTATCAGAAAAATTGCCACGATAAGTGATCAAATGATAACAATAAAAACAACTCTCTGTAATTGGAAAAAGAACTAGAATTCCCATCATCTCCACTTTTACTCAACATTTTAGTTTAATCGGGCAATGGAAATAAAAATTTCATTGTGAAGGGAAAAAGTAAAATTATTGTTATTTCCACTGGATGAAACTACCGTTGTTAGAATGTCCAAAATATTTAATTAATTCCAAGAGTGAATGATGAACTAAGCAGGTGTGTATGACTTTCACATACCTAGGGGATATTGTCAGCTCAGTTCTTTACCCACAATAAAGCAAATGTCATAATAAAATGAGTCACATGAATTTGTTAGATTGCTTCTGCTTAAAAAATTATATTTATACTTTTGTAGAACATTAACTCTGCAAGACTAATGTGCTTTAAATGCATATATTAAAAGGTTTCATTTTATAAACAATAAAATGCCAAAGGTCACTTGAGCCTTCCATGAATCTGAATGAGTTTGCTGGTGGAGTCTTGCATGACAGTTAATAGCAGCTGGTGGATCAGGGTGTTAGTTACTGAAGGGCAGGGTGGCTGCAAAAGTCTCTTAAAACAACAATGGAATTTGATACATCCATTTGTGCTTCCTAGAGATTTTTTTTGACAGCACTAGGGCTTCTTAAACCATTCAACTAGTCATCCTAAAATAGCTCATCAACCAGTTCCCAAACATCTCAATAGCCAGAAGCAGATAGACTAAGTTTTACATGACACTTTTCATGGGGAAACAGGAAACACATGCCAATTTACCTCAAAGAATAAACCAGAAGTAACGATTACACTGAAGTCCAATGAAGTGAACCAATGAGTTTGTTGATGTTGCTTCCAGGAATGTAGGTGAGAAGTTACTTGTAGAAGCAAGGCTGACTCAAATGCAGTTGTGTCACTATTGAAAGCCCCACTCCAGTATGGTGGGTTTTTGATGACTCATGAAGCCTGGAACCTGGGGACTCTGTATGTCTTAAGCAATTCATCATATGTAGGAATGTTTTCTAGGCATCTCAGTTCATGGGAGTCTCCCCTAGACAGCTGAGGTGGACAGTCACTTGCCCCAGATATTTTTACTGTGTTTGTAACCTTGAGGAGGGGCTTTGCAAATTCTGTAAGTTTTAATTATCACAGAACCCATAAGGGTTTTATTTTAAATGTTTTTTCTCTCTATTTTTTTTTGAAATGAGACTATAATTATACCATTCCTCCCTTCCCTTTCCTCTCTCCAAAACCTCCAATGTACTGCCCCATCCCCCTTAATCTCTTTCAAATTCATGACTTGTTTTTCTCTATTTGTTACTATGTGTGTGGCGGGGTGGAGGGAGACATTCCTAAATACATAAAATATATAAATACAATGTACTCATTCTGTAAAACATTACACGTGTGTGTGTGTGTGTGTGTGTGTGTGTGTGTGTGTGTGTGTAATTTCCGGGATGACAATTTTGTGTCGGATAACCAATTGTTGTTGTGCTCTTACCTGAGGAAGGCTGTTTTTCTTGCTCTCAGCAGTCCAAAGTTATCTAAAGTTCTTTGTCTAAGGTCACTGCCTCATGAGCTTTTTTCTATCCACATTAGTGTGTCTATTGGTGTTTCCCTTGTTCATGTCCTATTTATCATATCAGGGAGCCATGTTGGTCAGACTTCATGGAGGTAGCTTCTGACACTCCTGGAGACACAGTCTCACAGAAAACTTTCTGCTGCTCTGGCTCTTAAAATCTTTCAGCCCTCATTTTCACAATGATCCCTTAGCCTTAGGTAGGTGCAGCTGTTGTGTTGTAGATCTGATGTCAGTGAGCTCCACAACTCTGCTTTTGGATCAGGTGTGGTTTTCGGTAATGATCTCCATAGACAGACAGACAGATAGATAGATGATAGATAGATAGATAGATAGATAGATAGATAGATAGATAGACAGACAGACAGACATGCTTCCATATTGAGGGTGCTTTTGGGAAACAAGAAAAGCCTTTTTGTGTGTTGTTGGTAGAGATATCCAAAAAACTCCCAAATATTGTGGATTGTTACTATTAGGGGATATATATGTATATATCCTGAGCATCCTACCATTTGGAATACGGCAACTTAGAGGAAATTGCTTCCA